AATATCATTTAATCCTAAAACTATACTTTCGAAATTAAATATTCGAATTTATATATCTACCCCTTTCTCTTTCAATTTAAATCAATTAATCTTTTAAATCCTTTACAACTCAACTAAAGCTTTTTCTCAATCAATATTAATTAAATTTAAATAAATTGTTATCAATTAAGTTTCTTTATATCTTTATTTAAAATTATATCAATTTTAATTAAAAGTATAAAAAGATTAGCTTATAAAAATACACTTTTGAATATAAAGATTTATATATTTTAAAAAGTAAATAAAATATTAAATAAATATCAATATATATAAAAAAGTTAATTATATTAAAGAAAAGTATTTATTAGATAAAAAACTCTTAATATATTATCTTAATAAAAAATTAATATTTAAATTTAATACAATGAATGTTAAAATAAAAGAAATCCTAATAAATAAATATTATAGTAAGTATAGAAAGTTAGATTATAATATAATAAATTCTAAATTATTAAATTTTTAATAATTTAAATTAATTGATTTAATAATTTGAAGATGTAAATTGAAATGAAAGTAACCTATTTAGTGATATAGCCTACTCGGTATTAAACTATGTTATCAACAACTTCATATAAACCCCATCTTACCGATGCTATGCGAGGATGTCAGTCATCAATCCGACACCGGCCAACAAGGCTTTGAAAAATAGTGCTTAGGAGCATTGAAGGATACCCCACAAGTGCCGAAACAATCAAATCGATGCAACATGGCTCTCTTCTGAATTTTGTTACCAAGACTGGTGAAAAGTATCCCAGTGATTGCATGTCAACCACCACGAATCAAACAATCATCTGCCTTGGACACATATATCTCGATGGAGCTCTCAGATGTAAATCCAAAAATGATTTTTTGGTATAACTTGGGTTATTTGCCCTGTAGACTCAGGCTGCCGAAGTCTGCAAGTCTTGACAATGATGTGTGGAAGAGATGAACGGCGTCATATTCCAATTTCATGATTTGCGCTTTTTATCCATCGACAGCTTCTTGATGTGAAAAGACCAAGAAATAGACAGTATGAATACTTGAAGTATTGACAATGGTAGGTTGATATAATCTTACCAACAGTTGGGCATCGCAAGTCTTTTTTCTGCCGTTTCACCGCCTTGGTAACCCATCACAATTTTATATCAATCACTTCTATCGATGTGGTCAATATTCTATAACCAAGACCAAAACATCATCAAAGTGACAAACTCTTACATCTCGCAGACTGGGCGATTTCCCCAGCCTCTAAAATAGAACTGGATTCCTCGGAAAGAACTCGAGAAAGGTCGACGTCCTCATTTTGGGGTTTGACACTGACTTGTGCTTGAGTAAATAGAGGCGGACGTTGGATAATGTGGCCCAAACCGATACCAAGCGCACATGGCTTTCTCCTGCTTCAAAGACTGGAATGTTAGGGTCGGTCCAATAGTGTCGTTGAATGACTTCTCGATATAGAAGTGAATAACTCATTCACATAGTGCGTTGTAGGAAAACTTCATCCTCTGCGACAAATCCATCTTAGGTCGTGATCCCAAGATGAAAGAATTGTCGTTGCAGAATTAACAACTCAGTCTGACCTGGCTATTAGTTCCACCTCCATGGCAACACAAAAGCCGCACATTGACTAGTTTCGGGTGAGAGATTGAATGTGGAAAGAGTGATTAAGTCGAGGTTCTTCTTGAGATCCCGAAGAACAATCGATTCGATGCTTTCGCTTCGCTCGTCGAAATTGCGATGACTGGAGTAGGATTGAGGAACAATCCTGAATATGGATCAGAATTCTCGTTCACCGGATTTTGATCAAATGTTTGCTTGGTTGAACGACCAGCTAATTTGATCGCCAGATGGAATAAAGTGCTGTGATCAACCTCCAAAATATCAATCCCGACGGAAGCGCACAAATTAACGAGTTTAATGAGCTTGGATAAAAGCCATAGATTTCCGGTATATTGCTTTTTGGGGTATGTAATCGTGGAAGCTAGCAAAGTTGATGGCATCGCTGTTCATTTTCCTATTCTTCTATCCAGTTCATCTGCTTTATTAGGCACGGCGCGCCGTCGTGACAAAGGGCAAAGCACATTGAGTAAGTGATAATCCTTGTCCTCAACCACTTCTCCATTCGAAAGTTCGGCTTCGGTTTTCGATTGGAGGATTCCCTATGGGGTATTTGTAAGACCTGTGTATCTGGAAAATCGGCATTAGCTGCTAGTACAGAACACCATTAGCCTCATTTCTTTTTTCAATTTACCTGCGTATCGTACGAACTCTCAAATCAGACATTGTTCTTCTATGAGGAACGAGAAAACTGCTTGAAGTGTACACTCGCGTGTGACATCAGCATATAAATAATGCCAAGTCAGTCTTACATCCCATCCTAGCAATAGAACCAATCCGTGATTCATATAACATAATTTATCAGTACGTGTATTATATCAGTATGTACACCATTTCAAAATATATCAAAATTAGGTTTTTTTTAATATTCTTATTTTAATAATTAATTATTATTTTAAAAAAAAAAGAATATTAAATAATTATATAAAAATAGATTCTTAGAAATTTAATTTTTATATAAATATTTTTATTAAATCTTAAAAAAAGTAAAAATTGTTACAATTTCTGTTACAAAATAGTTATTTTTATAATAACTATTTTATAAATTAAGTTTTTCTTAAAATTAATTAGATTTTTATAATTTATATATAATTAAATATTTTATATTAAATTTTCAGAAATTTTAATTTATAAATAAAAAAAATACACAATTACACATAAACGAATTTTATATATAAAATGAGTGGTGCATGTATTGATATGGTGTATGTACTGATAAATTATGTTAAGCAAATATATTTTAGTATGTTTTATGGAGGCTGTGACATCTGTGGTTGTCTATTTGCCGAGCTAAATATTTAGGGATCTTCACCTTTCTATTCTGTTGATCGAGATTTTAAGAATGCAATGATGTTACTGGAACTTATCGAATGCAATGAGGATTTCACAACCAGAGGAACTCTCAGTCTGTTGCCGGGGATTGTCAATTGCGATATCTCGATGATGGCTCATTGACTCATCAAATTGACTACAAGTATTCAGAGAAACAATCTGGTGTTTGCCGTAGTTTTAAGTCTACAAGCCTAGATATCAGTTAAGGCTCTTGCATTCCTTTGGGGAAAAACTACGCTACTGGATCAACCGAGCAAGGCTTCTGGTATACTGTTCATCCTACTGGACCTTGGAATCCGAAGATTTGGAAATACATGCGTGTGCATCCAGCACAGCATTTGACATTCCGCCACCAATCTGAAGATTTGTTCGAAGCAATATATATCCTCAATGAAAGTCCTGACGGATACAAACAGTCAATCTTCACTATCTTCCCTGAGAACCCCATTTATCCTATAGGAGATTTGTTTTCTCCCCATGCAGATGATCCTGAACTACGGCAGTTCCGCGCCCGAGCAGATGACATGCAATCTTTCATTACAGCCGAATAATTCTATCCCACAACAATGGAGCGTATTATCGCAGCGCATCCAGAAGTTGCTGCTGTTCTATTTGTTGGAACACGACGTCCCAAGGGAGCTCTACTCGTGGAGTTGCGAAACCGATCTGAGGATAAAGATGTCTTTCTTGAGTCGCTATGGCCGCTTGTTGAGGAGGAGAATAAACCTGTGCCGTACATTGCTAGGATTACTAGATATATGATCTTAATCACGGATGAAGCAATTCCAATGGCGAGGTCTGTCAAAGGTACTATTGAGAGAAGAGGCACAGTGAGACTTTATGAACAGAAACTTGATGTTTTGTCTGCAGTTCATGCTTAGAGCACAATTTTGGAGGCAAATGGTTAGTTTCCTGTATTGAAATATCAACATTATGAGTCCCTGTGATAGATCCACCAGTGGGTGTACAGATTGACGGGACACTCCAAAAATGAACTTGTAGAGATCTCTTGATATATTCAATTCTATATTTTAAGAATAATTACAATTGTTTATTCAAGATGAAACAATCAAAGTATAAATTTAATATCAAACAATCGAAGAATGAATTTGTCAATTTTTTTGAAAGTTGGGAAGTGACCCTTCAATCTATGCACCCACTAGTGATCTACATTCTGAAATAGGGCTTGACGAATGAAAAAATCAAAACGTTTTTAGTTGATAATGTTCGATCAAACGCGTTCAGAATATTCGTTAAAAAGGGAGTAGTGAATATAACCTCGGACCTTTTATTATCCTAACAGTGCACAAAAATGAGTATAATCCTCGCAGAAGAAAACTGAAGAGCAGGGAGAACAACATCAAAAACCCTAGGCACACCTGATAGATGGGTCCGACAGGAGATGACTAGGCGATTGAATAAACACACGGGCAGGATCTTCCTGTGGCTTGTACAATTTAAACGAGGGCAAAAATGGTACACAATTGGTGGAGGAGATGTGGAAACTACGCAAGCAGGAGGAAATTGGAAGTTATGAGGATTGACGGATTAGAGCAAACAATGGGTAGAGAAATCAAAAAGGGTTGTGCTCGAAACCAATGCTCTTGTCGTGTCTATCGGAAGAATTAGACATGATGAAAGCAAGACTTCGCGATGCAGCTCCCATTCCCAGTGCAGTAAAAGGTACTTTCTGGTCAAGAAATGCCGAGATAAGTGCGTCCTTCTCGCTAGTATGCAGTGGAATAAGGGTTCAATGTTCGATGTGTTGTTGGACATGGAGAGGGGCCACGCAAATCAAAAATGGGGGAGGTCAGATTCCTCAGATCCTGGAGATGAAACCGCCCAACGACTGAACCATATATGTTTTCCGTTTAGAAGGATATGAGAAGATAATCAGTCAAGCTATGTTGCGCATGCACGCGACAACTCTGAAGAAAGTATCAATACAAGACAAACGCCACGTGCCCCATCTATGACCACCCCCCACCTACTCATCTCAAACTAATCCTTCTCCTCCTCCCCTTTTCCCTTTACCTCAACTCCAACTCTTCCCCCCCACAAATCCCATCATGCAAAACCCTATATCCCGGCGCAACACCCCCCCAAAACGGTATCTGCAGCGTCGCAACCGGTTCACCCCCCGACGCCGTCACATGACCATTCGCACTCTTGTCATGCGTATCCGCTGCCACAATAATGCCATTGGCGCCCGCTGCAAACGTTGCGGATTGGTTTGTTTCGGGGATGGTGATGATCATTTGGCCGGAGAGGAAAAGTACGTATCTAACTTTCGGTCAAATTTTAATTTCCCTGGTGATTTTTGGATGAGGCGGACGCGAAGAGGGGAAGTCATGAGAAGAGACATACTGCGCAGCAGGCGCTACATGTGCAGCACCGGGGAAATTAGCAGGCAGGTATCCGTAAGTCGCGTTTCCCATCGCGCCTAGATTCTGATAAAGCATCTCGGCACCATAACCAGGCTGCTCAGTGGAGATGATAGGATCGGTAAGTTGCCAGCATTGGAAGATGGAGATGTTGTTGGAGGCGGTGATGGCAGTTAGGTTGAAGTGTGTTGGGACTGCGTTGACGGGTGATGGATAGGAGGCGAGAAAGGGGATTGCGAAAAGATAAGGTGTGTATTGGGGATGCATTTTGCATCTGGGGGGTTGACTGCAGGATTGGAGAATTCGATCACGAGTTGATATCTTTCAATGATATTGACTTTGTATACATATGATAATGCCAAAGCTTCCCTGGTAGGCGCTAGAATCATGCAGCGGCGGGGTACCTATTTTTACTATCCCCGATGCTGTAGGTTGGTTTTAGATAGGCATTCAGTGTTGCATGTGCATTGAGTCATTCCCGTAGGATACACAGGCAGTGATTGGCACTTGATAGTTTAACCTTTACGGCATAGCAGCTGATGTAAGCCCCAGATCTTTGGAGTGATGTAGTCCAATCTAGACTTTTGATGCAGTAATTCGTTGATTCAACAGTTAGATCCAATGAAGTCTGAACGTCACCCACCATATATTTCACCAATCTACAACTCAAGGTGGTACAATTCATAGATAGCCACAGGGCGGATTCGAACCATTCCGGCTGAACCAAAGATGTGTAGCAGTGATTATCAAACGAGAGTGCTACCGGTAGAATTCGGATGTGTATGCATATGAACAAGGAACTATGATCGATCTCCTTTCACAATCAGAGTTAGGCGCATGTAGTCTTTTGCACGGAATCTCTACTAAATGAAGCACCGATATTGAAACAACGCTTCGTGCAGATTGTTGCAGCTGTACCATGAACACGGGTGTTGAGCCTAATGGTTGTCTTGCACTTGTAAACTCATGATTGGTTTAATGGTTGATGTAACGCCCCGCAGAATTGAAAACTATCGTATATTCAAGATCAATCGGTCCATAGAAAAGTGCATGCACTTGCATTAGTCTGTCCAATAATAAAAGGATAGAGTGAACAGCTGGAAGTAGGTGCAAGTAAATGTCACTTGATGGTTCTTCACCTGCTCTTCGGAGAACGACTCAGAGTCTCTACAGTATTCATATATCTCACATCCAAGGTAAATAGTGAACAAAAAACAGGAATAAAGATGGTGAGATGGATTTTAATATTGGAAATTGGACTTTGTTACTCATCCCACCTCCATCATATCGCACCAAAGTGCTAACTATCTGAAATGAACTCGTTGAAATATCGTCGTGCATTCGTCCCGTCTTTGTATCATAAAAAAGCATATCCAACGCCATATTCCGCCATAATTCAAGATCCAGTTATCGGAATAACCGATCATAACTGTTTCGCAGAGGCGAGCCTCTTGTCCCATTCCTTCCGTTCCATGTTCGGTGCCTTGCCACTCCCTTCAATAGTTCTCGTCGTCATTCATCATTCGCATCTTGTCTCTTTGCACCTTGCTCCACTGTCAATCAACCCCTAATACCGATCATCATCATGACGTCTCCCATGAGAATGGCTAGAATGCCTCGAATGACTTCTATGTTCGTGTCCATGATGTCCATGATGTCCATGATCATGATGTCTTGAATGCCTATCCTCTTCATATCCTCCATGACCACTATACTTTTCATCCCTGTACCCACCATGTTGCGAATGCTGTGATCCCTCACCATCTCTTGGCGGCGAACATTCCCGACCAGTCTGTGCATCCTCATAGTACTCTACATCCCGGTTGTTATGATCTTTTCTATATTTCTTCACTTTGTTTCCGAGAAATTGTCCAGCGATCATTCCACCAGCTGCATACAAAAGTTTTCCCATGGTGCCGCGACCGGTTTGCGATGCGACACCCCAGCCTCCTGCGGCGCCGAGTCCCATGGATACAAGCCCACGATCGCCTTCGACGGGCTGACCGTTGGCATCGAGTTGCTGGGGTGGAAGATTAGCGCCGGGCTCGTGGTAGGTTGGTGCGGCACCGGGGGGTGCAGAGCCATAGGGAGCGGGCGCACCATAAGGAGCAGGCGCTGGGGAGTAGCCACGGTTATCAGTGTAGGCGTTCAGTTGTTGGTTTCCGTATGGATCATTTGGAGGATAGGGATTTTGTCCATAGGGAGATTGCTGAGGAGGAGCTCCGTAGGGACCTGGAGAGTGTGCTGGAGAAGGACCGGGTGCGCCATATGGTGGTTGAAGGTTCTGTGGTGGGTAGGGATTTTGAGAGTAATTTGGGGCAGGAGGATAGGCGGTGTTATCCTGACCATATTGAGGTTGTTGAGGGTATGGTTGAGGTGGAGCGGCACCGTAGGGCTGATGTGGTGGGTAGGGATTTTGGTTTCCACCACCATAAAAGTCCTGGTTGGACATTCTGTTTGAATTATATCTTTGGGGTTTGATGTGTTTGATGATGTTTGCGACAAGGTTGATGATTGAATTAGATGAGATGGGACGTCTGAACAATGTAAGCAGAGGAGAAAGCAGTCGAAGAGGGGGTGTGGGTAAGAGGATCTTATATAGGGCAGAGCAGAGCACAGCACGGATTATATAATAAGTAATAATAAGTAATGATTGAGGCACAGTTATTAGGGCAGTGAATCGATCACCTGCAGCCTTGCAAGGGATTGGAGCCATTCAGGCCTAAAAGCCTTAATTGGCATAGCTGACTGTATGAGTGGAGAGCGTAGGGCTTATTCAACAACGCTGATTGGTCCATTGGCAAGTCATGTTCCGAGTTCCGTGGTGAGGGGCAATCTACTGCGCCACGAGTATAGGTTAGTCATGCAAATCATGCAATAGATTCCTTCTAGAAGTTTGAAGAAGGCTTCTTGGGAGAACGATCATGGGTTCCTGACATGCTGGCTGGCTGGTATGTTTGGAGCGTCGGGTATGAATGGTTCATCTGTTCTTTTGCAGCGTTTGATGGTTCATCTGTTCTTTTGCACCGTGGATGATGGGATGCTGAGAGTGTTGAGAATGATCCAATCAAAAGTCTCCCACTATAAATTCATTACAATATTATTCGCACTCGTATTCATAACCTTATCAATAGGTATACAGTATGAAGCTTGACGAATCTAGCGAGTAATTTAGCATACCCAGGTATTCATTCATCAATTTGTCCGAACAATAATAATAAGCCACTGTGTTATTATAATATAATACTGAGCATCCTAACCTCTCCTCTCGCTTCCAGCCCCTTCATCAATAACCCATCATCCGCACTCAGCCCAATAAGATAAAGAAGTAGAAAACGTCATCAACCTCGGATCCTCCAAATAACAGAATGCCACTCTACGCCTTATTGCCAAGCCACAAACCCTCAGCCCCCGAGCCACCCACCTTGCGCAACGAATGCCGAATTTCCGTTCTTGGCAACTGTCAACGCTAGGATACATCTTCGCTATCATGTACGTAATCATGGCCATAGTGGCTGTAACTATATGGACAAACAAATGAACACATGTGTTGTCCTGTTGTCTATGCAGTATGTATGTTCCACTTTCGAGCCTCGTCATCTTTTTTCGGCGACGATAGGACGATAGGAAATGCATGAGAGGGAGCCGGATTAACCATGTCTAAATTTACCTATGTATCGTTCTGATTCAGTGGCGTGTGTATGTATTGAGAAACCATACGTTTCCCCATTCGGTGCCGATTCAGTACCGAGGACATACTGACTGGAGAGTCCGAAATTTCTTCGGTAGAAATCATGGACATGGTCACGAGGTACAAGAGTCATTATACCCCCTTGGCATTTTGTGACATTGAAAGTGATCCACTATGACATTCGACAGTTGTCGGGTAGGCAATCGTCAGGCAATCGTCGAACCTCACTTCGATCATTCGAGGTAAGAGAAATAGTTATGCGACCAATGTTTACATTGTAATCTTGCTCATCATAATATTACCACCCAGACGTCAATCCCATCGAACCTTATCTCCCCGACTTCCGATAGCATTAATTCCACAGCTCAATTGCATATTCCCCCCCCAAATCAAACTAATCTAGATCTCCCATACCCATCATCCAGACCGATGTCGGCCCTCTCATCATAGAAGAACCCACCTCCCTCCATTGCAGCTTGCCTTTGCATCATTTCGTCCGGTCCCATGCCCACCTCACTAACCCAATCTTCTACATATGGAGATTGGTAATTTGTATTCAAAGGGCCACCATAATTTCGACTACCACCCTGGCTACGGTCATGAGTAGTATAAGGCATCATAGATGGTTCCATTCTCATCGAGCGCTGTTCAGTCATCTCCCGTTGTAAGTCTGCATTGCTTCCACCCCCTAAAGGAGAACGAGAGTGAATAGATCCATACCGGGACGATGTAAGTGGGCTGTCCATTTCGCCGTACATCAGAGGACTGGGACTTTGATGGAGATTGATGTGGTGGGGATGGGGACTCCTCATTGCTATTTCATTTCGCTCGTCGTAAACCATTCTAGGTGTAGATCGTTGGGACAGGCGGGGAGAATTGGGGTAACATGCGGCTGGCTGATAATCTGGCGTCATGAGATATTCGGGAGGGCCGGGTCCTAGGTCCTGGAATTGTGTTCGTGAAATTGGGGCTCGTGGGCTGTAGTACCGAGGCATTTGAAGACTAGAATTGGGATAAATGTCTTCGTGTAGATGCTGCCGGCGTGGATTGGGATGTTCTTGATTCAATGCTCTGGACGCCATGTTGCGGTTTATCAGGTGTTCGAATGCTTCATGTTGACCCGAACCTACATTTGATTGCAATCTCCTTCTATCGAGTTCTTCAAAATCTTCTAGGCCCCGTGGTGCTGCGCCTAAAATATGATTTCGATCGCGAGGATTTTGTCTACCGAGTTGGAGAGCCTCAAGACCTCCGGGATTTTGGACAATACTTCTAGATCTTGGGCCTATTCCTCCTATTGCAAGGGCTTCTAGACCACCCGATCCTTCCAAATATCTTTCAGTGGGACTAGAATGATTTCGTTGAAGTAAAGGTAAAGATAACCCCGTCGAGGAGGGTGAGTGGTCTCCCATTCTTAGAGTTCCTCTAGGAGAATGTATCATTCTGTCCATGGACAATTGGTCTCTAGGACTCAGTTGTCTGGCGTTAGGATTGAAATTTGGACAACCCTCCCAATGAACACCGTTCTTCTCATGGCGAGTATCGTAGCAGCCGGATGTTGAACCTTGATGGTTAC